CCCCCTCCAACGGTCTGAGGGACAGTGAACTGGCCTCCTGTTTAAAAAGTTTGAGGACCTCTGATTTAGTGGAATCACTCAGTGCATTTCCTTGGTCCAAATATAATTGTGTTCTTGCTTTTTTTTTTTTTAGGTGATATGTAGATCTGCAGACCTGCGATTACATATTCTTGTCGTTTTTTCACAATAGTATCAGTTTTCTTCTTGTATCTGAAATTAATGATGTCTCAAGAAACCAGATAGGTTAATTGAAGGGGTCAGGTATTCAAACTAGAAGAGTAGGAGTGGTAGCCTCAGCCCTCCAATACTGTATGTCTTAATGGATAAGAAAGAGGCCCTAGCCCTGGCCGGTTTGGCTCAGTGGATAGAGCGTCAGCCTGCGGACTCAAGGGTCACAGGTTCAATTCTGGTCGAGGGCATGTGCCTTGGTTGCGGGCACATCCCCAGTGGGGAGTGTGCAGGAGGCAGCTGATGTTTCTCTCTCATCGATGTTTCTGGCTCTCTATCCCTTTCCCTTCCTCTCTGTAAAAAAAAACAATAAACTATATTTTTAAAAAAAAGAGGCCCTACCACATAATCTCACAGTGCTTACTTATGTTAATATTCAAGTTTTAAAATGCCACAGGAAGTAATTATTCTGATGCTGAAATTCTCAATAAGTTATTCAACACACCGACATACACTTTTTAGTAAAAGCCTGCTGCTTTAAATTAGTAGAACCACCCAGACCTTTTTCTGTTGTTTGGAAAATCTCATTCTTCCTGGGTATTATGTTTAGACAAGGTGTATTGCAATTTGTTTTGCATTTACTTTAATCCCAACCTTGAGTAAACTTAGAGCAGGGTTTTCCAAACTAGCACCGCTGACATTTTGGGCTGGATCGTTCCCTGTTGTGGGAGGCTGTTGTGTGCATTGTAGAATGTTTCGCTGCATGCCTGGCCTCTGCCCACTAGATGCCAGGAGCAAACCTCCCCCTCCCCGCGTGTGACCACCAAAAGCCTGTCCAGATGAAGCAGTTGTTTTCTCGGGGTGGGAGGAATTGCCTCAGGTTGAGAAACACTAACTTAGAGAACCTAGACCTGCACTGTCCAGTATGGTAGCCACTGGTCACACATTTGGCTTTAAATATTTAAATTTAGGTTAATTAAAATTAAATAAAATTAATTCTGTTCTCAGTCACACAAGCCACATTTCAAGTGCTCAACAGTCACAGTGTGGTGTTTTTTTGTTTGTCTTTTTGGCTACAATGTGCTACTGAACAGTGCAGATATAGAGCTTTTCATCCCCATAGAAAGTTTTGTTGGACAGTGTTGCAGAGTGAGGCCAATTTCCCTGTTGTATGTCTAATTCTTTTCTCTAAAAGAGGGGCCTTGGACCCCATTTCTGACCTAACTAATTACAATCCAACCCATTTTTATTTCTGTACTCATCCTGAGCCAAATGCTTTCCCCCCTTTAGATCTGATTTTGGAAAATTATTTATCACCGTACTGTCTATAAGTTTATAAGGAGCAGTAGGAGCATGAGTGGAACATTCCTGATCATTACTGAAAAGGACTACCAGAATTTCTGTTCCTGCTTTTTACTTTAAAGCTCACAAAAGAATCCCTAATAGCCAAACTTGAAATGACCAGTTTCTGTGGTATGCCTTTCCAGATCCCACTCTTACTTAGAATGGAGGCTTCTGTGAGGAGATGATAGCCTGTAATTTTAGTGTTTGTTTAAAGCCGATTCCTGTATCATCATACTTGAGGGTTTTGCATACAGGTGCATAGTGGTTAAGATGGTAAATGATTACCACATGCTGGGTGTCAGAGAAAACTTGGTAGGTACAAAGTTCTGATCCTAAAAATTTATGGCCATAGGGATTTTTTTTTAAAGCATCTTTTTTTAAAGAATAGTTCTTCATCTTTATTGTTGAAAGTATTATACATGTCTCCTTTTTCCCCCCATTAACCCCCTCCAGCCACCCCCAACCCCAAGACTTCACCACCCCATTTTCTGCGTCCATAGGCCATGCATATATGCATACAGGGTCCTCGGTTGATTACCTCCCACACACCCACCCTCCCACTGCCTTCTCTCCGAGATTCCACACACTTTTCCATGCTTCCATTTCAATATATTTTTATTGATTTCAGAGAGGAAGGGAGAGGAGAGAGAGATAGAAGCATCAATGATGAGAATCATTTATCATCTGTCTTCTGCACACCCCTACTGGCGTTTTATGCCCTTGACCGGAATCGAACCTGGGACCCTTCAGTCTGCAGGTTGATGCTGTATACACTGAGCCAAACTGATAGGGCTCAGTGATTCTTGATTTATTTAAAATAGCAGAGGTAGTCATTAGCAGAACTATTTTTTTTTAGTTTCGTCCTCACCAGGGCTGTCTTGACCTCACCGGGGCCATCCTGACCTCACCGGGGCCGTCCTGACCTCACTGGGGCCATCCCTACCTCACCGGTGATATCCCTACCTCACCGGGGCTGTCCCGACCTCACCAGGGCCGTCTCAACCTCACTGGGGCCGTCTCAACCTCCCTGGAGCGTGGGGGGCGGGGGCGGGGAGGGACTGCTCGTCCAGACCCAGTTTTTTCACACATGTAGAATTCGGGAGCAAGTCTAGTGCTTTAGAACGGCGTTCTTTTAATTTTGAACTGGCAGGAGTAACAGATGTTGTCGTTTGTCAATGCCTACAGCTGCTGTGGATTTGTTACCCTGTCTCTGGACGGTTGAAGGGAGTAGATTGTACAAGTTCAGCCTGATGTCTTCCATGTGCCCACCGTGGTGTAACCCACACCTGGGCTGCGTCTCATACATTTTGGAGTATGCAGTCAAGAAAATAAAAAGTAATGTTTTTCTTCCACTGCCTTTCTGGCGAATGTTACATGTTTTTCTGGCTAGGAATAAAGTCTTTTCAGGCTTTTGATTAGCACAGTTCTCACCTTTGGGTAATTTGAGTTGTAGTCTAGATCAGTGGCTCTCCAACGGGGCAGTTTTGTTTCCCAGGGAACTCTCTGCGTTGTCTGGAGACATTTTTTTATTATTATTATGGTAAGGAGTGGGTAGAGAGGAGCTGCTAGCACTGTGTGGGTGGTGGCCAGGGCTATTGCTAAACATCCTACATTGCACAGGACAACCCCTAGACCAGAGAATTATCTGCTCAAAATGTCCGTGGTGCTGAGGCTGAGGGCACCCTGGTCTAGATCATGTGTGTAACACCAATAGTTGAATACAGAAATAATGCTCAAAATGTCCCTCTAGTGTCGTCTTTCCAATTTCATGAGAAGATGGGGTGGGCTTTTGTCATATCAATTAAAAACCTAAAGAACTGGGGTGATCTTTCCTCCAAGAAAAGTTCTTTGTAGGCAAATCTGCAAACCAGAGAGGGTTGGCATCCTACTTTAATTATTCCTTTTCTGACATTTGGTAGATTAGAGTGGTTGCTCTCTGAATGTTAATTGATGATAAAAGATCTTCAATTCTCCAAATGAAGAGCTGAAGAGGTACTGAAACCCCAAAGTTCTTAAGGCTGGAGCATTCACACAAATTGCAGTGATCTTTTAGGAATGCAGAATGTGTGGGTTGGAAGTTTCTGCCTTAGGCCAGTGTGGAAAAATTCTGAATGTAAGTTTTTCAGAACTAAGATTGTGTCTTATTTTTACATTTCATGAAGCAGTAGAGGGCCTTACATGTAATGAACAATTGCTCTTGGTGCTGAGTGGGCAGAAAAGAAAAAATATTGATATAATATTAATAGCAGGATTTTGTGTTCTGAAAAATAGTTTAAATTTAAAACATTGAATTGTGCCCATTCCTGTTTCTTTGAAGAATAGGCTTTTCCGAGCTAAATTCTACTTTATAAATTTGAGAACTATTTGAGCAGTTCTGAATGATCTCATTTAAATGGATCCTTGAATAATTTATACTGCCTACAGACACCACAATGTTAATTTGATACCCATCCTCTAAAATATTGAGTAATCTCTCTCACTTTAAAATGTAGTATGCGATCATTTAGTGCAGGGGTCCTTAAACTATGGCCCACGGGCCACATGCAAATACAAATATTGTTGTATTCCCGTTTTGTTTTTTTTACTTCAAAATAAGATATGTGCAGTGTGCATAGGAATTTGTTCATAGTTGTTTTTTTTAAATATAGTCCAGCCCTCCAACGGTCTGAGGGACAGTGAACTGGCCCCCTGTTTAAAAAGTTTGAGGACCCCTGGTGTGGGGCATGGATGGGGAGAAGGATTAGGGAATGTTACACAGGTGTGGGGAAGGGGATGTGAGTGAGATTGAGCCAGAGTTCTGTGCTTTGGATCAGGAAGGGGATGTAGAAGGAGTAGGCTTGGGAAAAAAAATGGAAGAATTCCATTTCACCATGAAGAACTGAGAAGCCTGTGGGATATCCCACAGTGGAGGCTGGAACTGTGGGCCTCAAGCTCTGTGGGGAGGCTGGCGGTGGAGGGACAGGTGTGTGAGTCATTGACAGGGAGCGGAGGTTGAAGCCATGGGGTCAGCTGTGCTCATGGTGGGAGTTAGGGGGAAGGAGGGATATAGAATGAGCACCATGGGACTGGAAGCAGATCTCTGGGCACTAGCAAGAGTCAAGGACTGGCCAAAGATGATTAACCAGAGAGAGGAAAAGAGAGGGAAGGAACCAGGAACACGGATAGAGGGCCAAGGACAGAATGGTCTCTGGTGCCCACAACTACAGAGAAAGGGGTCATGAGGTTGAGTGGGCTTCCGTCCGGCAGACAGGCTGGTACTTGGGTTCTGGAGGGTCTGTGTCAGATAGAGGGGACATAGGTCATAACATGGGATTTGATAACAGGATGGGAGCCAGACTGTAGAAAATGTGCAAAGATC